CATATACTTTTCCATGTTATAAGGGATAGGATCAATATCATCCTCACATTCCATTGCACCAATTCCTTGCATAATTATGTGTCCATCATATCCTGATAAATTGTGAAAGATTACTGTTATATGTATTTCACGAGGTTTTATGGATAAGTCAAGATTACATCCTCTATGTGCTGCACCTCGATACCTTCCTGTAATATGGCAGTGGTCTCTTACTTTATTTCCATCTAAGAGGTTACGACATATCCAGCAGTTTATTGCATTATCATAACTTGCTTGCTCTTGGGTTGTTAACGGCATCATTTCTATTGGGTTTCTGAATTCATTACGGATTGCTTCAGCCTCATTTAGCATTTCGATTACAAATTTTTGTGCTGCATTTTTTCCTGTAAATATCTTCTGTGATTCACTTACACCATCATATCTTACCTTAATATACGAGTATGAGCAGGGGATTTGCTCTTGCACTTTCTTGGTTTTTTTATCTTTGTCTTCATCTGTTGGTGGTATGTCCATTACTAGGGCTTCAAAGTCTGCAACAAAGTAATATGGGACTTGCATGCGGCGTTTCCAGTTCTTGAATTCATATATATTATTTCCTTTCTTTACTGATGGCATTCGGTCTGCTTGTGGGGTTTTCTTTAATCCTCAACATATTGCTACATGTTTGTCATGTATTTCTTGTTGATGTGTGAAGTGGGAGATACACCATCGGCAGACAAATATTGCATGTCCATTTTTTGTACGTTTATTTACTAAACGGCTCATATTCTTAATCCAGCAATAGTGCTGCTTTTCCCTGTTACTGATAAGTACTAAATCTATTATTTTACGTCCCTCTGCATCATCCCTATCGGTAACATATATTGGACATAGGTGGTGGTCACGCCATTCACAGATGCAGAGGGCAATAGTTGGGTTCTGTCGCTCAAATCTTCTTTGAATTACCTCATCAGCTTGTACTGGAAATTCGATACCTTCAAAGTTTAACTCATTTACATACTCCTTATACTTGGAAATTCTTTCTGCGTTCTTTTCTACTGGATGTAATGCTGCTAGGATTGCCCACTGGAAGCATTTGTCATCATCATTAGCTGGATTTACTACTCCCTTTTTCGTGGCAAGATCTTTTGGGAGTGGTATATGTCCTGCTCCTGTGGGTGGTTGGAATTGTGAGATTTCTATGAATATTTTTTCTACACGATAGAATTCCCAACCTGATCCGTAATTTACATAGTCTTCTACTTTTTGCATGATTCTTGCTAATGCAAAGTTAAATGTACCATTAATATCTGTTGATGGTAGAATTGGCATATTGCGAGTTTTAAATGGTATTTTATATCTGTAGATATACTCTACTCCATCATCTTCACTAAAGTTACCATCTCCGAATAATCCCTCAAGGTAAGAATCTAAACGTCTTATTGTGGCAAATATTCCAATTCTTACCTTTATTGATCCTAATCGATTTCTTTCATCCCGAAGAATATTCTGGATTGTTTGACTGTGTGCTGTAAGAAATGAAGCATAGTCATGCTCTCCAGATGTTCCTATAGCAATATCAGCTGTAAAGTTTGAGTCTGTTAACTCCTTTCCTATACGTACCTGATCATGATGTTCAAATACTACCTCATAATGTGGGTCTGGGTCGATTTGCATCATGCAGGTTATCTCTTCATTGGTTACCACCGCTTGTGCTTCACGGATTTGGTGGATCTCATCCTCATATTCCTGCAATTTTGCATTTGAGCGGGGATATGGGATGGACTTGACAGGTACCTGCTTGAGTTCAGCTAAAACTGATCGGACGACTTGTCTGTGTTGGGCACTTCTTGCTTGATTTGTTGACATCTTGTAAACTTTTTATACTCCTCTTTTATTCAATTAGATTTTTTCTGAAAATAAAATTAATTGTCTGCCTACCCTATGAGGGTAAAAAAAGAGGGAGACAGATTAGTACTGTCTTCCTAAACTATTCCTCACCATCTGAGTCATCGTCATCTGAGTCACTGAACACATCCTCATCCTGATGTATTCTCTATCCTTAAGTAACTTATAGTTGTAAGTTACAACGGCGAATAGCTTCTTTTACTATAATATGCTCTACTGCGGCATTTGTTCTCTCTTTACAAGCCTTTTGATATGCCTCTCATTCAAGTTTACGGAGGATACCCTCCTCCTCCAATGATTGGCCAAGAGCATCCCCCGCTTTTTCCTTCTTTTCTACTGCCCTGTCGTATGCCTCCTCGGCTTTTTTATGCCGCTTCCAGAGTACTCGTTCAGCTTCAGCTCTCCAGATTGGGCTGACTTCTAGAAGATGTGTCCTGAAATTTCTACTTGGAATGTATTCCAGGATATGGCCCACAAGTTTGGGGATTACTGATACTGTGTACGGGGTTTGGTGGCTTTTTAGGATCTCCCTATTGATAGCCATAAGATCGGAGACTGTGCAGCCGAAGATTGTTGCTAACTTTTCTGCGGTATATACCATGTTATATACTATTTATCTGTATAGTTACTTGGTACCTACCTTTTATTCAATTACATTTTTTCTCAGTATAAGGGTAATTGCTTGCCTTGCTATTCTGCTCTATTGACTCCATGGCTGGTTTCCTGGATGGGTTAATATTTCCTTACCTTTTTTGGCTCTGTTGGCTTTGAAATCCTATTTCTTGTTCTGTTGGGGGTAAGTAGGTGAAAATATTAATAAATGATTTAGATTATGAAATAAGTAGGATATAAGTAGGTGAAAATATTAATAAACGGTTTAGATTATGAGATAAGTAGGATATAAGTAGGTAAAAATATAAAAAGATGACCAGGATTGGACCCACAGCCGGTGGGAGAGCAACGGGAATAGTAAAAAAAGGTTGTCAGGATTGGACTCACAGCCGGTGGAGAAGCAACAAGGGGATAGCAAGATAAAGGTAACCAGGATTGGACTCCGAGGAAAGTGAGCCAGAACTGGCATTTATATACTACTTTGTAAATCGTATATATGTTTGAAGCCCAGTATCTCTTTCTCATATAGTATAAAATTTGGTGTGGATTTCACCAGCTTCGCTCTTCTTTTAATTATACTATTTAATTTTGACATCAAAATTTCGCATTCTCTTTTCGTTAAAACAATAGCTGCTAGCTGGTATTCGATTCTGGGTACCATTACCACATTCCAAACGGTAATAATTTGTTTCTTGTTTAAACTTTTCCAATTGAATATTTTGCAAGCTCCATTCACTATTGAAGTTATTTTTTCTTTATAAATTTTCCTCTTATTGTCGTGTTTAAAATATATTCCTAGATATCTATTGCTATCATTGCTGTTAACTCTAGTGATTTTTTCATTTTCGATTATTAATTCTTTTTTCTCTTTGTTATTTATTTTGATTAGCTTGTATTTCAAGATATTTGCTTTAATATCGTTTATTCTGAAAAACTGATGACATATATCAATCATTTCTATTAATTGTTTCCTATTTTTGCTAATCAAAGTCGTGTCATCCATAAAGGCTGTAGCATTAATCAATATTTCTAAAACTTTTGTCTTACCATTTTCTCTATTTATTAATTTTTCTTTATAGAAATTATATCCTATTTCTTCTTTTAGCTCGTTTAGTCTCATTAAAAGGGTATCATAAAAAATTCTCCACAATATCGGTGACCATACTTCGCCTTAGTCTATACCATCTTCTATATAATATTCCTCTGTTAAATCATTATTTACCAAAACTCTATTGTATCTATTCTGATTTACATCCATTACAAAGTTAATAAAATTTTTTGGTAATTTGATCCTTTCCATACATTTCTTTAACATTAATGAGCTGACTGAATCGTATGCTTTGAATATGTCTATTAACAATATCCAAGCTTCTTTTTTGTATTTGTTGGCATCTTCTATCACTGATTGTACAATTTTTAAGGGTTCTAAGGTGCTTTCATTTCTTAGCGCTGCATAGTTAGTATTTGTTAAGACTTGTTCTTTTGTTAGTATGTTACTTAGTCTATTTACCAGTATTTTAAACCATATTTTCCTTACTGTTTCTAGAAGTACTATAGGTCTTATCAATTTTAGGTCATAATTCCAATGAGATCTTGTTGTTTTATTTATCGGATAAATAATTCCTTTTTTCCATTTTTCTGTTGTATTTTCCATATAGACTAATCGGACTCATTTCACTAAGTAATGATCAGGTGATAAAATTGAGGAATATATATGGAATTTGTGTAATAAAACAATTAATATTGATAATTGCCAAATAGGAAAGCGAAGAAAACACTCTCTCTCAATAAAACAATATAGGGGGAATTGTCAGGGAATCATCATTTTATTGGTTATTTGTTCTTATATTATATAAATTGGTTTTATATTACAATATACAAATTTTTAAAATATATAATTAGAAATATATGAATAATACCATAAGTTTTCTTCATTTCAAGTTAACGTTAATGAATATCTGCTTTAAAAAAATATTTTATAAATTTCTCTTGCTAATACGTTTCAATTCAGTAAATTTTAAAGTATTTAACTAGTTACTATGGGCAGTATGGAACAAGTATATAAAAAAAAATTATTTATTATATCTACTTTTTTTTGTTTAATTTATTTTACTTATCGGGTTTATTTCTTTATTGTTAGAATTCAAATTGTACTTTTATTCATGATTATTCAAATAGCAATATAATTACTACCATCTATTATGAAAGTAGTGGCAAATCTTATTCAAGAAAGTACATTATTCATTTATTAGGTATTTATCCTTCCAATGTAAAAAAAACAAAGAAGACATCAAAAAATTGCCCTGAATAAAGTTGAAACAACTTTGAAAGGATATAGCATTATTTGCGAAATAAATTATTTATCTAATGGAACGGTAAAGTTCGTACTTAATTAGACAGATTCACAAGGTATTGATCAATATATCATAAATAATAATTCTGCATCAAGTGTTACCAAACACTTTTTAATGGCAATTTTTTTATCATTTAATCATTTTTTTTTCATTATTTATATTGGATTTATGTGTTAATTTTGTTTATTTATTTAAAAAAAAATAATTTAGCTATTAAATAAAAAAACTCATATTTCTGGGACTATTCTATTTGGTTTTGATATTTCTTGTTTGATTGAAGCACGAAAAACTATATTAATGCCTATCAATCGTAAGAATTCTTTCACTACCCTTACATCACGTTCGCAACAAAACAAACGTATAAAATTACTAGCTAAAGATATTGAAAAGGAATCAAAAATAATTTTAAAACAACAAAATTTTGATAACACAAAAATTCGGTATATTGAGCTTGAAATTGGTGATGAAATAGTTGGAATTGATCTATCAGAAGTGAATTTAGATTTTACTAGAGTTCGTCAGAATGCAGTTGTTTGTGCATGTGATGAAGCGTTAATATTAAGAGATGGTTATAGACATCTGGCAGCTATTAGTCCAAATCTTAAAAGAGAATATCAGATTAGTAATAGGCGAAATGAAATTTCTAAATATATGGAAACAATCATTCCAATTTATGATTGTAAAATAGAATTAGATAATATACAAAATAATTCTAATAATTCTTCTAATTCTTCTAATAATAATTCTGTAAATCCTAATTTTTCTTTAACTAATGATCAAAATGGATTTTTTTCTTATCGTTCTATTAAAGATTTATTAAATACTTTGATACCAATTTGGAAAAAAAAATCAATTTTAAATATTGGTGATAATATTAAATTAAAATTTGGTGGTGATGGTCATATAATTACAAATAAATATGCTCACGTTATGTTTACAATGTGCTTACTTAATGAAGGAGACGAAGTATTAAAACCTGAAAAGCAATATTGGTAAAATCTGCTTTTATTAAATCAATATGATTTATTTTATTGCGTTCTAAACTTCTAATTTCAAATTTTATCAAGTATCCTGCTATACATAGGGAAAAAACAATATGAAAGACTTTCTATTGCAGTCTCAAAATTCAGAAATGAATTAGATTCTTTAAAGGATTTATTGACCAAGATAATATTACATGGAATGTCGAATTTTACTTTAGTGGATATTGGAAATTTATGGCTCTTGTTAAAGGATTAAAAGCAGCAAATTCAAAATATTTTTGTTTATTTTGTGAATGTCTAAAAGATTCACGTGGAAATTTAAATTTACGATGGAATATTTCAGAAAATAAGAAAGGTATTTATTTAATAATTTTATTTATATAAAAACTGAGTTGATAAAGAGAGGGCAGCAATAATTCTACTATCACTAATACAGTAAGAAGTTGAATTTATTTAGGTGTTGAACATCCAAGTCTTTTTCCAATAATCAAACTTGATCATTGGATACCAGACGAACTACACATCATGTTGAGAATAACTGATATTTTAATGGGTTGTCTATTCGGAGATTTAATGATAGATTTAAATGAATTTAAAAAAGTCATCAAAATTTTAATTGAAAAGGAAATGCAGAGAATTGGGTTGACACATTTCCAGTTTTTTGAATCAAAATCTAAAGGAAAATCTTGGGATTGGACATCTTTAACTGGACCTGATAAATTGATAATGTTACAACATTTTGACGTAACAAAATTTATTACTGGTGATCGTGGAAAAAAAATATCACTTTTATGGAAAGAATTCTTTAATTTATATCAATTTTTACGCAAAGATTCATTTTCTGATGATTCTGAAATTAATTCTTTTGAGATTAATGCAAAAAATTGGATCAAATTATTTTGCGAACTCACTATCGGAAAATCAAATTCTATTAATCAAAGGAGATGTATATTTAATCCTACTGATATAACTCCATATATGCATATTTTTGTATTTCATATTCCAGAATTTTTAAGAAAATTACAACATAAAGGATTAAATATGAGACAGTTTTCTACTTCAAGTATTGAAAAAAAGAATCATTTACACGTAAAATTATAATTTAATTGTAACTAATTGCTTAGCGTTAAATTACTAATTATTTATTTTATTTTTTTTAGGTAAAATTATTTTTGGAAGGACAACTATGGGAGGAGGAAATAATAGTAACAATAACTCAGTTTTGCATGATATTTTGTCTTTTGAAAATAGACAATTATATTACTTAATGAATGATACATCCTGATGTATTAAACAAAGAATCATCTGTCCAAATCCTTGATTTTTTATAATACAACTAATATAATATGCCTTTTATTATGAAAAATATGAATCATTATCGAAAATTTTATTCCTATTTTTAGTTTCTATAAATGATGTTTTAATATTTTTAATATCTGATACATAAGAAATTTTTTTATAATCATGTAAAAGAAAAATATATATGTACATAAAAAATACGCTTAAATTTAAATGTTAATTTCTAGATAAAAATTCAGTTCTATAATTTTTTAGAAAAAGGTGAATTAATTTTAATAAAATAAATTATTATTAATTTTAATTAAAAAAATGTACCATTATTTGAGTTATCATCCTTAATACATTCTTCGCATTCCTTAAAAATGTTTGCTGTTGTATCATCCTCTTGACTTTGAATAAAATAACCGGTAGAAATTGTAAAAAAAACCACTAATTTTGGACTATACAAAATTAAAGGTTCTTTGCCATCATGGATTCTTGTTACTACAAAATCAGACCAAATAAAAGTTACATCCTTTTTCCGCTCCTCATTTTCCATAAACACATAAGCCTTTGTTCCACTATTATGATTTTTTTCACCCCAATCTTTACAATCAAATAAGTATCCTAATCAGTTATATCCTGCTTCTCCTGTAAATGCGCATTTATATTTTTTTAAATAAGGTATATAGGTAAAGCTTTCCTCATTAGAAAAAATTTTGACAAATAATTCTTCATTAAATGGTTCACATATTAATTGCCTAACCCCACTTTTGGAACGGTGGTATGAGAGTTTTTTTTCAATTCTAACTAGTAAAGAACTCCAATAACTTCAGACTTGAATATCTGAAATACTGTCAAGTACAGATTGCTGTATATGCAGAACAATGCGATTATTTGGATGTAATTGTCTTTGATGTAAAGAAAGTTTATTTTTCGTATATAGGATGGTCAAATTGTCAGTAAATTGACACAAAGAACATGTAGTTTTCTTAAGTGAGCTTTTTTTATTCTTGGCGTTCATTGTATTTTTTTTTATCAGAATAAAACTTAGACTTGTTTCACAAATCATGGTAATTTTGATATTTCATAATTAGCCAATCATATCCAAATTCTAGATCACCCTATTTTGTCACATTGTTTTGCCATGTGACATTTGGTTGATGCGTCAGTTTAGCCCATATACTTTATTTAGACTTTCGTTAAATATTTCTAAAGTATTGTTCTTGTCAATTCTTTGCTTTTCTTCTAGAAATCATAAGTTATACCACTAGGACCCTGAAAAATACATATAAAGGTCACATGTAAGTTTGCTTAACCATATTAGTAAAATTTCCAAAAGTCATAAAATTTTATTTGCATAGATTTTGAGATTTTTTAAAAGGTTATATATATAGTTTGCGTAATAACAATCATTTTTATATATGTCATATATTTTAATTTGCGTAGTTAACGGTATTTTTTAATAAAATATATATACTTTACAGAAACCTTAAATTTTTGAACAATACCGAATTGATATAGTAATGATGTTAAATATATATCGTAATGATATCAATTTGCAAATGATATCATTATGATATCACAATGATATCATTTCAATATTAATTCAATATATCGACATGATGTCGTAAAGATATTTGTTTTGAAAAAATATCAGATCGATATCATTTCGATATTGTTATAACAACAATGAATTTTTTGAAAAATGGGAATATTAATATGATATCGTTCTAACATTAATTCAATATCAATATGATATCGTAAAGATATCACTTTATAATTATCTAATCGACATCATAACGATATTGACGAAACATCAAATTGATATCATTTCGATATTGTTATAACAATAATGAAAAATAGAAAGTAAATAC